TTGCTTAAAATAAAAAATCAGTGTTTCCTATAATTAGAATATCACATTAGACCAATAAAAAACTCACTATTTGCTAGAGCCTATTGGCCCTATGGAGATGTTTTGTCTGATTCAACTTCAGACAGTGGAAAAAAAAAATCTATGCATCTTTTTATTCAGTGTTTGTAAACTTCTGGTTTCAACTGTACATTTAGTGCCTTATTTTCAATGTTCTCCTCGTGTTTGCTGCCCTCAGTTCCTCCTGTACTCCTGCCCTCTCCCCACCGTCTCTTTCTGTGCCGTCCTGCGCGACTCGCCCAAAGTCTTTGGCTTTATAGCGCAGCATCCTGCGGCTGACATGTACCACTGCTATCTGTTCCAGAGCCAGAAGCTTGTGAGTGTTCCCTCCGTGGTGAACAGAAAAGAACAAGTTAGTGGTGGGGATAGAGAGGGTTTTTGTGTGTTCATCATGTTCACACCTTTTCAGGCTCCTGTCCTGGTGTCAGCTATCGGAGATGCTTTTCGAGCTTCAAGAAAGGAGCAGAACGTCAGAGGGGGGAGAGACCTGGTGGTGGAGGCACTCAGACACAAGGTTCAGCCAAACTGATTCTTTTGCCTGCACAAAAATTACAGTTCAGAACCAGTCGCTGCAAAATTCAATGTTTAACACGATTCTGACTGCTGTGTCAAAGCTGTGAGCATGAGCTTTTGCATGGGTTTTTTCTCATACTGCATGGAGATTGTTACTGTAGCTCAACATAACCTACATGCTATCATGCTTCTGCCTATTTCTTTTATTTATGCTCATCTTCTGCAGCCGACTTCAGACGCTTCTGCAGTTTTCACCAAAAACATTCAGCTTACAGAATTCACACTGGATATGCATTTTTGTTCAAGTTTGCATCTTTGTTTCTTTTTTAGAATAAAGTGTTGCAGAGAGAAAACGACGAGCTGAGAAAGAAGCTTGGAGGACACATCTATGAGTCCATGTCGTAGTGTTTGGACACACGGATGAAATCAAGGGACAGTTTCATAAAAATATATGCAATAGACGCAAGTGTGGGTGTGTGACTGTGGTGGGGCATAAAAAATATATGCCAATACATATACAGATAAATATACTGAGAACATATCATGACAGATGAGTTAAATTATATTTCATTTGGAAATAAAATAAGTTTATGATTTTTTTAGCCTTTGATTTGACATGAATATCCATTTATTGAAAAGAAAAAAAGGATTGTGATCATGACAAAAGGCTATGATTAAAGTTTTAAGGTGTACTTCTCAAATCTTTCCTTTCCACCTTTATTTGAATGTTTTTACTGCGACCAGTAATATCAAAAACCTATTTTTATAGTTTTATGCTCGTGGATCAGCTTGGGTCCTGACTCCTTAGAACACGTTTTTATTAATTTTACAAAACAATCATGACTAACAAAATGTGTCTTTTTTGGCAAGAAAAAACTAACAGAAAATAAAAAAAATATTTGGTGTTTGGCAGAATCTGTGTATTTTCTGGCAGTTCGTTTGAAACAAAAAATGAAAAAACAAAAGCAGACTCGTCTTTTCGTCGATTAAACCAAAACAAGAAATTGGATAACAAACTTGTCCGTAAATTTTCAGGCAGTTTGTTTCTTTGTTTTAAATAAAAATTGAAAAAAGGGCTCAAAACGAAAATGGAAAAAATGGATAATGAGCGCTCAATTTGAATTTTCATGATTTAGTTTTTGGCAAGCGGTCTGACTCAGATGTCCCCTGTGTCCAGCAGACCCAGGGGCCGTTTCACACAGGGCCATTATACCGGCTGCTGACACAAGCTTGGCGGTTTCACGCTGTAAGAAACAGACTATACCAGACATGGCAGACACCAAACATTGAACATCCTCGCAAATGCTCTGTCCCCATTGTGCAGCATGCTGGTGGCAGCATCATGCTGTGGGGATGTTTCTCAGCATCAGGCCTTGGAAAGCTTGTAAAGGCAGAAGGTGAAATAAACGACAACTTTAGAGAACATTTTAAGTTCCAAATCATCCGGCTAAAGCTACACAGGGATGGTTTGAAAACAAACACGATGAATATTCTAGAATGGCCTCGTAAAAGCTCAGACTTCAATCCCAAAGAGAATCACACAACCTGACTTTGACTCACTTTCACATGAAGAGGTTTGTTTTGTATTTTATTTGTTAAAAAGCTCATTTTAATAATGATGATTGATTTTTTTTAAAACAACAATAGCATCCCAGGGGATGAATACTTTTCATAGAAATACATGCCCTTCGACATGCCACATGTAAAAAATATCTTAAATTAAAACAGATGTTTTTATTCCAAACTGAGACTCTGCTTACATTTATTTATGATTTTCTGGTGAAGCCTGTCTCATTTTCTACCCAGGGTTTCCCCCAGCGGGTTAACAGCCTGGGGGCCCAAGGGCCATTTCAATATGAATTTAGTGAATTCTGGGACAAAGGGATAGTTTAACTGGCCAACCTAGAATGTAATCATTGCTAATTGTATTTTACTGAGATAAATTTGTGAACAAAGAGAGCTCAAACTCTCTTTACTTTGACAATCTAATTATAGTTAGATTGTTTTGTTTTGGTAACAAAACAATCTACAGTAACTATAATGACTGTTCTTTAAACTGGCCAGTTCTTTAAAAATCTTCTATCTAAACGTTAAACAATTAACCAAATAATAATTTATGTATGCTGAAACCATTAAATCAGATTTAGCAGCATTGATATTCACCATAAATAATGTGGTCTGTGTTAAAATATTAGCATTTATGAGGCCCCTGAAGGTCAGGGGGGCTTATGGAGCTGCTTTCTTAATTTGGATTAAAAATGAATGCAATTAATTGATATTCATTTTAGTTGTAATTTTTGGATTTGTTGTTTTAAGACTCGATAGTTGTTGAATTTCACTGGCGATGTTTCCCACAACATATAACAAGCCTGTAATATTTTACAGTTCCTGTCAACTTTGACATCTATTAATACAAAAAAACCTCGCCTTGGTGCCCTGGCCAAAGGGCTTGGAAAGTTTTCTGGGGGAAACTTGGCAGTCAGAATCAACATTGTTGGCCTGCCAGGGGTATGAATAATTTTGGACATGGTTGTGTTTTACTGATCCATGATGACAGATCAGTAAAATACAAGAAGCATCCTAACTGAAGTAAAAACAACTTCATTCAATTAATAGAGCAAATATTTTGGAAACCACAAATAATGTATTTTACAGGACAATATGTTTTTCTTTTTCATTTTCTGTTACACATTTGACAAATTCACTGTGAATGAATTTCAAAACTAAACACTGGAGGGTCGTAGTGAGCATCCCAATTATCAACTAGAAAATTCCTGAAGAAATTTAACCGGGGCCTGCCAAAGTGTGCCCGTCGATTTGGATCCAGCGTTCTGATGCTAAACATTAGCATCCATGCTAAGCTTTGCTAAAAATGACAAAGTATCATGTGGAGAATCACAAGAATGTTCACTAACATGAACTTGCACCATTCAGTATGTTAAATTAAGTGTATAAGCTAAAATTAGCAAAAATGTTAATGTTAGAATGAATACTGTCAGTAGCATGTGGACAATCACGAGCATGTTCTCTGTAATTTACTTACTCCATTCACCATACCAAATATCGCTAATAAGTCAGAAATAGCTAATACCTCATTTAAGGTAAAAGGCTAATGCTAATGCTCTGCCTTGCTGTGCAAGGCAGAGCCCTAACCTGACTAAAAAAGATCAAGCAAGCTAATATCATTGCAGCGCCTGCGGCGCTGCATTAGCCACAAACGAATCTTAAGGCTTTTATTTTGAAATTTTCATTGAGATTAATTTTAAATGGCCAATTTCATTCCATGTTCAACACTGATTGGTTTAAATCAGTTATATAGTGGTCAAAAGAGCAATTACTTGATGGAAAAATTGTCAAGGCTTTTATTTTGAAATTTACATCAAGCTTAATTTTAATGGTAACACTAATCCCATGTGTAACTATGGAGTTTTGAAATCAGTTCTAAAATTCCCAAAAACCAAGTATTTGTCATGGCCAGCTGATTACTCATCAGTAGTAACTGACAGTTCTGCCATGTTGTAGTTTTTATATTCACCTATGACCTCTTCTGTAGGCACTGAGTGTTCCGCCATGTTGTAGTTCTAACCTTCAGGAATTGTAGTTCTAAAGAGGAGGTCAACTGTCATGTCAGTGTGACACACAAGGAGAGGCTTAATTATAAATGCTTGAAGAAGTTAGTTTTTCTGACAGGCCTGAGAGAAATATTCAAGGTTTGATTTTGAAATTTTCATTCAGCTTAATTTAAAATTGCCACACTAATCCTGTGTGTAACAATGGTTGATTAAAATCAGTTATAAAAAGCCCAAACACAATGTAATTCTAAAGGCCAGCTGATTCCTCCTCAGTAGTAACTGAGAGTTCCGCCATGTTGTAGTTCTGACAATCAGCTCTGACCTCTTTTGTAGGCACTGAGTGTTCCGCCATGTTGTAGTTCTAACCTGCAGTCATTGTAGTTCTAAAGAGGTCAACTGTCATGTGTGTGAGGCAGAGACAGATTTCTATCTTTGTGAGACAGCTCAGTCAGTTATAATGGAAAAAGCAGCCCGAACAACTCCTTGCCGTTCGGGAACCGTGATACGTATCAGAAAACCGTTTGAAGCGTATGAAAGAGCTATTTTTTGTCTCCGATAGTCCTGCAAATCAAATCTGTAGCTCATTCATAGTAATTACAGCGATGATATAAAAATGGTGTGTGCTGAGATCTGACATTTTCCATAAAATTATGAAAATATATGGTGGAGAGCGTCAGTTAGGCTGGAACTTGATTTTGCTCTAAAGCACCTTGACAGAAAACCGTAAGCCCTAGAAAGATTTCGAAAACATTTTACCAGAGCAGACATACGTATCGATGTCATGTCCGAGTTTCATACCGTGGGCGTGGCGGCGATTTCAAAATTTATTTGGGGTCAGAAATCCACTTCATTTTTCACTCTAGCGGAGCGGCAGTTGGTGGCAGTTATGCTCTGCGTTTCGGCAGTTGGAAATTTCGCTTGTTTTTCACTTTTTACGTCGCCGTCGTAACGCTGATTCCCCATAAAAGTAATAGCTCCAATGCCGGGAACGAGCCGCACGTTTTGATACCACTTTTGTGGGTGGGCTCGCAGCGTTGCTAGGCAGGCCCCAAAAACAGTATAGAAATATTTCACAACGACCACTTTGTAGTCACTTTTCAATAAGGTTTTTTAGCAGGGGTGTCCTCAGAGACTCGGCTCCCACAATTTTGCCAATTTAGCCCTTCACATTCCTACTGACGGCTGCAGCAAAACATCAACCTTGATCCGATATATTATGATTTCATGGTCTTTGGTTGGTGACTAAATAATTTTAGACATCATCATACAGTCATACCAGTGGAAAACTGCATCAAGCACACTGACCTATTTGCACTCCTTAAGTGTGAATCCCTCATTAGATGCTCACCAGCTGAGCTTTAATCAGATCTCCCCATAAACAAAAATATGATTTTAAAATAAGTTCAACAAAGAAAACTTCAGTTATCAACAAAACACTACTGACAGCATCAATTTAAGATAAGCATTTACACTGGGTGAAACAAAAGCAGCATTTAACCCTATGTTAAATACACACTAGAAAGCAAGTCAAAAGCTTTGATTATGGAAACTTGGTCCTTTATGCAAATTCCAAATAATGTTCTGCCTTGATCGCGATCGGACACTCCCTCCGCTCAACCTCGGGCTCTTCCGACGAGAGCGAGAACGTAGAGGAAGATGTTGATGATGTCCATGTACAGGTTGATAGCAGCAAAGACATATTCCTCTGGGCTCAGAGCGAGCTCCTTGTTGCCAAGCAGCAGCTGGGTGTCCACAGCCAGGAACTGAAAGGCACAAAGGAGTTCAATGCCAGTCGCAAAATCTGACTATACAGCTAAATATATTGTGTCAAAACGTAATGAACATAATAAACTGTTTGTCAGGGCTTTTTGTCATTGACTTGGATACTTCTGGTAGTATTTCTACTGAGGCAATCGGAGAACAGAAGGAGACGTTATGAATGATGACATCAATTTCCTTCGCGGTTTTAGAATTGGAGTCTGTCTGTAGTTTTAGCAACGGCAGCGAAGTGACCGGAGCCGTTTAGTTCAGGTTTGCCACACTTACAAATTCTGAACTGAATTCAATTTAATAGATGGGCACTTTGGACAATTTCCGCTAAGTGTCATAGCATTGAATTGGCGCCTTATACATGTCACGGTCAAACGTTAGTGCTGATATAAACAGAGCCCAGAGTCCAGATTCTCTGTAGGCATTATAGAAAATTTTTTAAACCAGACCAGTTTAGTCCAGTAATCTTAAATAAAACCAAACAACCGTTCCCCCTCATAAGTCCCTTAATATTAAACACAGAGCTTTTCCGACAGGTTAGAGAATGTACTTCGGCATTTTCTTGCCTCCCATCATCACTTTCTGTGTTAAATTAAATTCTGGATTAATAAGGGTTGTTGTGATGGTGTTGTACAGTGCTTTAATATCTTGTTCAATGTGGCCTTTTTTTCTTTTTAACTTTGAGCCCCTGCCCCTCCAAAGGTCTCTGCACGGCCCTGATGTTAGCATCTGGTTTTTCTGGAGCATGTTCTCTATAAATCTCAGGCACTCAATCTCCCATTTAAGTTGATTGATTTTTACCAGCAAGGCTGCAGCAGTTTGATCTAGACTCATCATGAGGCTCTTGGCCACAGAGCTGAGCACCCAAAACTGCTCAAAGCAGAGCTGAAGCTCCAAGGATATTTTGAATCAAAACAAACTCTGGTAGAAGGCATTTTTTAAACTTTATTCCATGTAAAGAACAGACAGGTTTGCAAAAGTACTTAGGACTGTAGACCATAGTGAAAACAGTATAGAATTTCAAACAGTACTTTGGAAAAAACAGTATAGAAATATTTCACGACCACTTTGTAGTCACTTTTCAATAAGGTTTTTTAGCAGGGGTGTCCTCAGAGACTCGGTTCTCACAATTTTGCCAATTTAGCCCTTCACATTGAGAGCTTCTGCAAAACAACCTTGATCCGATATTTGGTTGAGGTTTGGTTGATATTTGGGACTTTGGTTGGTGACTAAATCATTTTAGACATCCTATCAGTGGAAAACTGCATCAAGCACTCTGACCTATTTGCACTCCTTAAGTGTGAATGCCTCATTAGATGCTCGCCAGCTGAGCTTTTATCAGATCTCCCCATAAACAAAAATATGATTTTAAAATAAGTTCAACAAAACACTACTTCAATTTAAGAGAAGTGTTTGCACTGGATGAACCAGCCTTTAACCATATGTGAAATGTGAAATGCACTCTGTAAATGCCAGTCGGGAAGTAAAGATTTCTTGATTTTGTTGAGAGCAGTGATTTGATTGACTAATTTAACAGCAGAATGGACTTTTTTTTCTTTTGCACATTATTTTATTTGAATCTTTGAAATTAATCTAACGGAAACAGAAATTAATTGTGGGCAGGTTCTGTTGAGCATTATGATGTCACATAAACTGACTAGTCATCAGGCGCTTTTGGAACTTTTGTCAATAAAAGAGGAGTTCCTACAGGAATTTATCCATTTGAAGAGTTCGTCTCAGACAGATTACTTCAAGAAATTTCATTGAGCTTCAGTTTTGCAAGTAAGTATTTATTTAGAAATTAGTGAGGCAAAGAAGAAAAGTTGAATTTTGTGAAGGAATTGTGAAGCGATGTTGCAGATAGTTCAACATCAAACCATTTTACAAATTTTTTGATGAAAATATCAAATGTCTCATTTGTGTTTTAGTGTCTTTTTGCATGTTTGCTAAGTTTGTTGAGTATTGAAACATGCAGTTTTTCATGCAAAAAAATTGGTTTTCCTTAAGGTTTTATAGATAGTTGATGATTTTCACACATGAAATGATAGATTTAATATAATAGGTAACTAAATGATCATTAAATTTACAGTGTTTACTATAAAAATGACTTTCTGTAGAGTTGTGTTGTACATTTTAGACATGCTTTGTGCAAGTCATTGACCACTTTTGCGTGTCTGGTTTTTTTTCACAGTCATGCAAAGATCAAGTGAACGTTTGTTAAGGAACGGCTACTACGATATATATGGACAACCAGTTATTTCCTACAGGGAAACAGCAGTGAGGTATATTAAATCAGCAATTTTTTTAAACTCTTATGTCTTATGCAGTCATCTGCTGATCAATGTACATATTTACTCACTTGTATTTTTTCCATCTTGGGTCAGGAGGAGGTACATTACAGGTCGCCCTGTAAGCCCCCCTAGAAACCGCCCGGCGAACCGCCCGGCATATCGCCCGGCAAACCGCCCAGCAAACCGCCCGACAAATGAGGAGATATCATTAAGAGAGAGGCATCAGACTCGTGCGGTGCAAATTATTATGGACCGAGAAAACCAGATGATAGACTGTCTGATAAACATTCGCCATATCACCCGCTTATTCTTTTTCACCTTCGTCACTTGTGGTAAATACTCTCCCACAAACAGTCCGTTTGGAAGTGTTACAGAAAGTCTGTATTTTGAAATTCGTCTCACTGTTGTCTTCTGCTCATGTTCATCAGCTTGTCTTTGGTGGATTATTTGCCCACGACCGTCTAAGATGTCTCTTACAACAACTATGACAGACATGGTAGGCTTTCTCTTCCTAATCCTAACACTGATTTAATTATCATGAACAAACATGAGAACAAGCTGTTAACTTTTATGTTGTGCACAGGGTCCAATCTCTGGAGTTGAGGATCAGGGACATCTCTCCAGGCTGCAGATGTTGGAGAAAAAAATTAACTACCTTCTACCAGAAGTAGACCTGTGGCCAAACTTTGCTCTCCACTCTCAAGGTGACCCATTACAAATAAGATCATCAACTAGATTGCACATTTTCAGTATTAAATTTTTCTGACTCACATTATTTCTCTTCTTGTGTTTTGTGTATAGGAGCAACGATTTTGTACAAAAAAACGACAGAGTCATGTGAAAGCCATATTGGATGTAGAATACTTGGAGTGCCTATCAGGGCACCAGCTATAGATGCAGACATTGTTATTCAGGTCTTAATGACACTTAGATTATTCAAGAAATATTAGGAAAAAAGTGATGTTCTTGTTGATATAAAATTAGGCCTTATGATTTCCTTTTCTCTTAGTCTTGGTACCCCACCTAAACTTTGTTTTGTTCTCTGTTTTCAGGGAAGAACTCATCTGCATCCTGGACAATGCTGGGCCTTTCCAGGCTTCCCGGGACGTTTGGCCATCTCATTGTCTCACACAGCCATCATCAGACATGTGTCCCTGGGCCACATTCGAAAGATTGTGTCCCCAACGTCCTCTGTCTCCAGTGCTCCTAAAGAGTTTTCTGTCTTTGTAAGTCAAGTGAAACGAGTGTCAAAACTGTAATATATATATATATATCACCTATTGCATATTTTAAGTATACTTGTGATGGCATTGATTCCGTATGACATCACTTGATCTCATTCTAAATGATGCAAACATTCTGCCTGCACTAATGAATTTTCTGCTTATCTCAGGAAGTGATATGTTTTCAGCTACACCAACTAACTTTCACATTTCTAGAAAGAACAGATAATGAACTGGATTTCTATCTAATTTTGTCTCAGGGAAAGAAGAATTTAGAAGATGAGGAAACTCATTTGGGAACTTTCATATATGACGAAAATGGAGACCAAATTCAGACCTTCAAACTTTCTGTAAATATGTCAAATTAATGTTTTATTATCCAAATACATTTCACTCAGAAGCCCAGACTGACTGACCCTGTTATAAATATTGATTGTTTTTCCTAAACTGGGTATTAATAGCATTCAATATACAAAAAAATACTTTAAATAAAATGGCAGATACCGTATTATTGTTCCGTTCAAAATGCTCCACTAAAAATTTCTATTTAAACCATAAAAATTATGTTAATGCTGCACTCCCAGAGCTCTCGAGTGAGACTGCAACTGATAGAAAGCATTGAAAAAAATAATCAGTTAGTCAACTTTGTAGCAAATATGTCATCTAGAAATAGTGCCTAGATGCATCACCAGGCTCCACCTGCATATGCAGCCACAGAAAGCTTTGTTATCGAACCCTAAACTATTCCAAAACACAGAGATACGGAGCGATCAACTTGAACAGATGCAAACAAAAAAAACAGTTGATATTTTTGGCCATCTCTTGAGGACAATATTTTTTCTTGGCATAAATCTTGTTGAAAGAATACATCAACTTTTATTATGTCTTGACAACAACAAAAAAAAGTCAACCTCTTATGACAAAACAATCATTTTTGACATCTCATGATAAAACACCAACAAAAAATCCCAGTGTTACTACATAACAGTTTGTTTTAGCAAGATATCAACATACTTCCCTTGCTATCTTGAGAAATACTATGCAAAATATTTTTATAGCAAGGCCAGTTGAACTAGGCTTCCATGCACTTTAAGACAGACCTCCTTTGTTTCTATTGTCTGTCTATTTGCAACTATGGATTATCAATCTAACCTCTCTTGGCTTACAGGCTGATAAAGTTGGCCCCTACGACCATGTTACACTACAGGTGAACAGCAACTGGGGAGAATCGGGCTACACCTGCCTCTACGACTTCAGAGTGCATGGAGATCTAGCCAAAGAATGAGGTCAACAAGGAGGAAAGGGGTGTAAGATAGGAAAGAGGAAAAAGTACATGTTTTTCTTTAATATATATTTTTTGTATATGTTTTGGGAATTAATTATAAATCCTGATTAAAACAGTTACACCACTCATCTATAAGTAGACAATCAAATGAAGATGAAAAACAACACACACACACACACACATCCATGAAGGCTCTCAGACAGGTACCACAGGAACAGAAAACATTTTCTTGTTGCCCCCCATCTTGGTGCCTGCATGTTGGGGTTTACTGCGGTGAGCAAGAGGGAAGTTCAGAGAACTCACCCTTTCTGGAGTCCTTGGAGGGTGTACTGGAGTGTACCCCTCAGGGATTCCCTTGTTCTAGTGGAGAACTTCAACAAGGCAATGGGCAATGACAGTGAGACCTGGAGAGATGTGGTTGGGAGGAATGGTCCCGGAGATCTAAACTCGTGAACTTCTGGGTTCTCTCCGGGTCCGCCAGCTTCTTCCCACAGACATTATAAATTGGCAACAATGGGTTCTCTCTGGGTGCGCCAGCTTCTTCCCAAAGACATAAAAGTAGCATGCATGGGTTCTCTCTGGGTGCTTCGCCTTCCTCGCACAGACATCATAAATTGGCAACAATGGGTTCTCTCCGGGTCCGCCAGCCTCTTCCCACAGACATCACAAATTGGCATGCATGGGTTCTCTCCGGGTGCTCCGACTTCTTCCCGCACACATAAAAGTAGCATGTGTGGGTTCTCCCCGGGTCCGCCAGCTTCTTCCCACAGACATCACAAATTGGCAACAATGGGTTCTCTCTGGGTCCGCCAGCTTCTTCCCACAGACATCACAAATTGGCAACAATGGGTTCTCTCTGGGTGCGCCAGCTTCTTCCCAAAGACATAAAAGTGGCATGCATGGGTTCTCTCTGGGTGCTTCGCTTTCCTCCCACAGACATCATAAATTGGCACCAATGGGTTCTCTCCGGGTCCGCCAGCTTCTTCCCACAGACATTATAAATTGGCATGCATGGGTTCTCTCCGGGTGCTCCGGCTTCCTCCCGCAGACATAAAAGTAGCATGTGTGGGTTCTCTCCGGGTCCGCCAGCTTCTTCCCACAGACATCACAAATTGGCATGCATGGGTTCTCTCCGGGTGCTCCGGCTTCCTCCCGCAGACATAAAAGTAGCATGTGTGGGTTCTCTCCGGGTCCGCCAGCTTCTTCCCACAGACATCATAAATTGGCATGCATGGGTTCTCTCCGGGTGCTTCGCCTTCCTCCCACATCAAAAACACAATTGTTAGGTTAATTCTCCATGTGTTACATGGTCATTTGTCCTGTGTCTCACTGCATTGCCCTGGGATGGTTTGGCAACCTGCACAATTCCATGTTCAGGTTCTCTTTTTTGCACCATTTAAAATGGAAACACTGACACTTTTACATAACTGGTGGTACATTTACCATAAACTGTCTGAGAGCATTAACATTCAACCACAAACATAAACTCTGAAAACAGTGCATCTTCATGTCTTAATCAAAATTAAAGATTGTCTGTCCAGGTTATGGAATACAGCAACATGACTTTGTAGATAATGATGCACTAACACAATTCTTTAAGTTATTTTACAGATATTGAAGTTTAACTTTTTGTTTCATGTTATTCTTTCGGGACTGATTCCAGTAAGAGGTAGTTTACTGCTACAGGCTCAGACTATTTTCTGTCAATATCTATTGTATAGACTTTCCCAGATCTACCTTTTGTAACATGTGTATTGTAAACTAATATTGTAATTGAATCTGTCTTTCTTTCAGAAGGTTTGTTGACAGTTTTGTTGTTGTTGTGTTTTTTATTTTTGCCCTCTTGAAGCCAGCCAGCCTCGGCAGATGGCTGCTCATCCTGAGCCTGGTTCTGCTGGAGGTTTCTTCCTTTTAAAGGGAGTTTTCCTCTCCACTGTTGCCTTGTGCTTGCTCAGGATGGGGGATCCCTTGGATTAAACATCCATCGCGATCTGCTGGTGACCCCTCCGCAGAATCGCCACCTTAACGTGGTGGAGGGGTTTGAGTATCCCCATGACCCAGATGGAGATTTTGTCTTGGGGTTCAGCCAATAGTGAGGCTTCCCAGGGTAGGCTGCCATTGGGGAGGGATCAGACTAAGAGCGATTCAAGGTTTTCAGTGAAGGGCTACCAAAGGAATCAGGTATTTCTAGGACACAGACAGTTATCCCAAGTACGGTTTTGCCGGAAGTTTCTCCCTATAAAAAGTCAGTAATCTTCTTCACTGATAAAAATGACAATGAATTCACTGTACTCCAATGCCCTCCTGTGACTGCTAATCGTGCTTCCATTAAGGTACCAGAATGCGAGGCTCCTAAAGTCACATGGGGACTTTGGTCTATTTGGGCCAACGAGTGAGCAGTGTGAGACAAGTGGAGATTTGAGACAGACACACAGGCATGGAAGGTTCTGGCTCAATACTTGGAGAGGAGCCACTCACCCACACTTGAAGGTCCACACCTTGGAGCAGTTGCCTACACCTGAAGGGGCCAATGGGTCCATGTTTGAAGGAGAACTGCACACGACAGAGGGCCAGAAGGAGGCGTGCACATGTCAGTTCAGTGGTTCAAAATGCCTGGGCTTCTGCCTACATTCTCTGGACTTGTGTTTTAAAAATAAAAGCCTCTAAATTACTTCAAATGGTTACCGGTGTTGTGTCCATTCATTTTACCTTTACAGTCTCACTATTTGCACAGTCCTTCCAACCTACACATAGCTGAATGTGAGAAACTGCCACATAGCATGGCATGTGGGTACACCAACAATGACAGACATTTGGCTTGCATTTCTCCATGTTGTCATCTTAAGTAAGAATGTCATTTCATCATGGTAATGTCACAGTCAGTTTCCGCAAGCTACCCTCTCTGTACAAGAGTACAACAGAAATCAAGAAATAGTGAAAAATTAAAATTTAGAAAGGTTCTTAAATTTCTTAATCTTAAATAAGCTACAATGAGCCAAAATTATTTTCTTCATTCCACTATGTCTGCAGTTCTAACATTCTGCTCAGCCTTCTTCTGCAATAAGAGTGCCACCATTATTGTAGTTCTTAACTGCTAACTCAGCCCTCGCCTGAGGTAACTGAGTGATCCACCATGTCTGTAGTTCTAACCTTCAATCATTGTCATTCTAAAACACCAATATTAATGTACCGCCTGAGGCACTGCACCACTCTGAGAGGTAAATAGGATTTATTTTCAGATTTTCAGTAAGCTATATTTTAAATGGCCACATTAGTGTTCCGTCATAGTTTAGAACTACAGAGATGGCGTCTTTGTAGTCCAAACCAGCAGCTCCGCCTTTCTCTGTGTTCTGTTGCTATAGTAATAGCCGATGTAATAGTAATAGATGGTGCTTCTTCACGTCGAGAGGAGCCGGTTGAGGTGGCTTGGGCATCTGGTCAGGATGCCTCCCTGATGAGGCGTTCTGGGCACATCCCATCAGGAGGAGGCCCCGGGGAAGACCTGCGACACGCTGGAGGGACTATGTTTCTCGGCTGGCCGGGGTTCACCCAGAAGAGCTCGGCATACCAGTCCCAACAACCACGCTGTTACAATAAAAAAATAAATGCTACTACACAATTACAACATTAGGGATTGTAACCACCCATTTTAGAGCAAGCCAAGGCTGCCACCTGGTGGCAAAAGAGGAACACTAACTGTCAAATCAGTGTGGAATCACTGCTGCTGTGCGTCCTGGATGTCAGCATCTGGCTTTCCTGGAGCATGTTCACTATAAATCTGAGGTGCTCAATCTCCCACTTAAGCTGATCGTTTTTTTTTTTACCAGCAAGGCTGCAGCAGTTTGATTTGAGGCTCTAGGACACAGAGCTGAGCACCCAAAACTGCTCAAAGCAGAGCTGAAGCTCCAAGGACATTTTGAATCAAAACATAATTACAAACTCTGGTAGAATTTTTCAGATTTTATTCCATATAAAGAACAGACATCAGGTTTACAAAAGTACTTAAGACTGTAGACCATAGTGAAAATGTAACCCACATAAAGTGGGAATAGCCTTTTGGGAAATAGAGATTGGGTAGGCGGGGTAGTCTGCCTGGCCAATGGGAAGTTTGATTCCCATGAATGTTTAGACCAATCAGAGAGCGGAATGCCACAGAGGCTCCACCTTCTTTCCCGTGTTGGCAGCATTGATTGTGAGCGGGAGATCCGACCCTGATCAGACAGCTGAGCCAGAGTGAGAGTCTTTTGGTTTCTTTCTAATATCATTTATTGACTTTGAAGGAATTTTTTCTTGTAAATAGTTATTGTTTAAATCCAACTTATAAGTTAGAAAGAGTGATAAGTTTCAGAAAACTGAACTTCAGTTTTTCTGCTGTTAGAACCACTAAGATCAGTTGGAACTGTTGCACTTTCTGGCAGTTGATTGGCAGTTGTTTTCAGTTCAACTGAAGGTAAAGCCTGTATAATAATGTATTTTTATTTTACTTAATTCATTTTCTTTAAGTTAAAACTTAAAAAATATGCATTTTACACTGTCTAGTGCCCTCCGTGTCTGGAATGAGAGTCCCTGTCTAGTTGTTTTGAACGTGCCGCACTGAGATCGGTGAGCATATTTTGTACCTTTCATTTGGTTTTTGTTCTTTTATCTTGTTGTCAAATAATGATCTTTATTTGACCTACTTAGTTATTAAAACGTGAACCTTTGCTGAGTTTGTGTAAAATGTAATGTTTTATTATTGTTCTTGGAAAAGGATTTTTCAAACAGTTATGAAACATAATAAGCTAGAATGGTTTAATAATAATTCTATGTTTCTGCTGGTCTTGTCTGTTGACAGATCAGGGTTTTTTTTGTTGTTGTGTTGTTTTTTTTTTTTTTTGCTTTTTCTTCTCTTCTCCTGGATTGTTCCTGGAGTGGATTCCCCTACTGACTTTGATGGCGAGCCTTCCCACCTGGACTTAGAAAGATCTGGATTTCCTCCCATGTTGAGTGAGACCTGAACCAGGATTTAATTTGATTCATTTGTCATCTAAAAGAGATTAGAGCGCAAACTACCAGGGTGCACCCAATAGATTTAAATTTGATATTTAGCACTTGGCCAAGTATTGTTGTTTTTATTTCATGTATTTTATTGTGTGTAATTTTATTTTCTTAATTGTATGTCTTGTCCATTTGTGAGTTTATGATTCATGTTACTAAAGCTAATTGTTTTTTAAATTCACTCAACTGTGTATGTGTCATGTAAACACCCATCGTGCTCCGACAGCCAAACCTATTGGCCCATCTACCTAAAACATATTGTACCCTTCTCAACTGTGTTACAGGAAAAGGTTTGGCGAGCCAGCCAGGAGCACGAGTGTGTGTGTTTAAGTGTCAGACATCTTTCACGTATTGTTAGAACTTCCTAAGTACTTCTCAAAAAAAATAAAAAATGGATGTGGTACTCCGGGAGTCCATCCAAATTCCCCATTCTTTGGTTGTTAGTGGCTTGACAGGGTCAGAAATAGATGAGGAAGTATCAATATTTCTCCAGAAGTATGGTTCCATTAACCGTTACATTCACTTAGATGATCCTAAATCAGGTTTCCATAAAAACATGATTATTGAGTTTGCACATGAAACTGCCATGAAGACATTGGAACCACTGTTGCCTCTTCAGCTTCCAAGCATGACTCAAGCAGGGATTGTGTATGAGTTAAAAGCTTTAGGAAGTGTCTACACCGTAGAAGCCAGAAGCAAAGCTACTAAAATGTACATGGAACAACTCTCTGAAATTGCCATGCTGAGTGGAAATTCACTAGGAGAAATGTTGAAGGAGGAACTTAAAAGTCTAGTTTCATCTGTCGAAAGTTCCTTTGCCCGATCACCTCAGATTGATCCAGAATCCTCAGCTCCACAGAGTCCTATCCCACAAAAAGACTCGACCAGCAAAAGAAATATCCCATCTTCTGAAAACCCTCAGTCAGCCATAGCTGTCACGCCATCCCCGATTTTGACACCAGCAAATAATCCAAGTAAGCCTCTCAACCCTTCCATTTTCAGTAAAAACCTGATTGATCTCAACCCCCCACAGACTTTGTCATTCTCATCTGAATCCACTACTACGCCAGTAATCGATGTTAATCCACATGCAGTTCAGTGAGTGGTGGTTGAGCATGTGGTGCGCAGCAGTGATACCTCATCTCCATTTGCTTCACCCAGTAGACTCAGAGCTTTTTCAGGCAAGAGTCCACGTCCAAGCCATGAAGCAGATTATGATACATGGCATGCAAGTGTTGAAATTCTTATCAGAGATCCATCTGTGTCAGACTTGCATTGCACACATTGTATATTAGACAGTCTTCTTCCTCCTGCTTCTGAAATAATTAAACATTTGAGCCCACAATCTAGTCCCTCAACTTATCTCAAGTTGCTTGACTCCGCCTACGGGACGGTTGAAGATGGTGACGAGCTTTATGCTAGGTTCATGAGCACGTTCCAGAATGACGGAGAGTTACCTTCTGTTTTCCTGCAGAGACTACACACAGCCTTAAGCAAAACAATGAGACGTGGTGGTGTATCCGCTCCAGAGTTTGATCAACAGCTTTTAAAGCAGTTCTGTAGAGGCTGTTGGGAGAACGCTTTAATAGCCGATCTTCAGTTGGAACAAAAGAAAGATAAACCTCCTACTTTTGCAGAATTGTTGCTCCTTCTTAGGACAAAAGAAGATAAACAGGCTGCAAAAATGACTCGAATGCGACAGCATTTCAACCATGCCAAGTCTGGCCACATCCCCAGCAAGCAGCGTGCCATGTCACAAGTTCATCTTGCATATGACAAAAATGATTTGATAAATAAGACTGATCTTGAGATGCTCAAGCAACAAATTGCTGACCTCAGCCTTCAGGTGAAGAGCATTGTGTCAGAGAGTCAAAAGTCAAAACAACTTAAGCAACAAAAGTCTGTTCCTCTAAGTGTCACACATGAAGCCCATGTGGTGAAACCAAAAACAAGCCGTCAGCATCCTTCCACAATTAAAGCAAATGGCAGACCACGTCCCTGGTACTGTTTCCAGTGTGGAGAGGATGGCCATGTTGTTTCAGTCTGTGAAAATGCACCAAATTCTTCCCTTGTAGCAGCTAAGAAAAAACAGCTGAAAGAAAAGCAGGCTGCTTGGGAAGCCTCTCATGCTTCTCAAAGTGAGACACATTTAAACTAGTGTCTGCTCCCATAGAGGGACACATGGGAGCAGAGTTACAAAATTCCAGTCCCAAAACCATGAAAGCTGTTGTTAAGAGTGTTGGGGTAGAAAGGTCGAAATTGCCACATGGCCTGGTGGGAACTAAAACTACAGCTCAAGTGTCTATTGCAGGGAAAGACACAAACTGTCTGTTGGACACAGGTTCACAAGTCACAACTGTGTCCCAGTCCTTTTATGAAGAACACCTTTCTGATCTGACCATTCATTCTTTAAATGATTTGCTTGAAGTGGAGAGTGCTAATGGCCAGTTTGTTCCCTATTTAGGATATGTTGAGCTTACCATCACTTTTCCTAAAGAGTTTGTTGGCTCTGATATTGAGATTAACACTCTGGCTTTGGTTATTCCTCACCTCCGCTCTGCAGCCCATGAACAGGTGCTTATAGGCACAAACGCACTTGACATTCTTTATGCGGATTACCAGAAACTTTCATCTTTTCAGCCTTTGATGAATGGCTATCAGGCTGTTCTCAAAATACTTGAGATACAACAAAGGGAGCTTATCCACAGCAGCCTTGGTTGTGCAGAACTAACAGGCAAGCTGCCTAAAGTTGTTCCTGCAAGGCAGACCACTGTTGTTGAAGCTTTTGTTCCATTTAATCGTTTGAACATTCAGAGAGATGTTATTCTTGAGCAACCATCAGCTTCTTCTCTACCGAATGGTTTACTCGTTTCAGCGATTGCAGTAACTTTACCAAGCAAACACTCATGTCATATTCCTGTCATACTGAGAAATGACACCAATCATGACATAGTCATTCCCCCCAAAACCATTGTGGCAGATGTTAATGCTATAGTACAGGTGTTGCACAAAGAACATACTGTCAACGAATCAGACTATCCTAAATTTCAAGCAACGTCTTCCCCACCACTGAACTTTGATTTTGGAGATTCACCTTTATCCACTGAATGGAAAGAGCGAATAACAAAAATGTTAAACACCATGCCAAACGTTTTCTCTCAGAATGACCTGGATTTTGGCCATACTGATAAAGTGAAACACAGAATCAAGCTCAGTTAAAAAGTCACATAATTCCCAAGACAGCATTTACGTGATATAAAAAATATTTTATTTTTATTTTGAAATTTTCATTAAGCTTAATTTAAAATTGCCACACTAATCCTGTGTGTAACAATGGTTACTTAAAATCAGTTATAAAAAGTCCAAACACAATGTAATTCTAAATCCCAGCTCATTTATCCTCAGTAGTAACTGACAGTTCCGCCATGTTGTAGTTCTAACCTGCAGTCATTGTTGTTGTAAGGAGAAGGTCAACTGTCATGTCAGTGTGACACACAAGGAGAGACTTAATTCTAATTGCTTGTTAGTTTTTGTGACAGGCCTGAGAGAAATATTCAGCTTTTATTTTGAAATTTTCATTAAGCTTAATGCTAAATTGACATACTAATCCCATGTGTAGCAAAGTTTGGTTAAAATCAGTTATAAAATGCCCAAAACACAAGTAGTTCTAAAGGCCAGCTCCTTCCTCAGAGCTCTGCCATAGTAAAAACTACAGTGGCGCGTTTTTGTAGTTCTAATTAGCTGCTCTGACTGTTACTCCTCTCGAGTTCAATTAAACTTAACGCAGTTCTTGATTTTCTACAGCCATTTATTTCAGACACGTTCTTCTAGGTCCTCAAAAAATGCCGTCAGAACTACAAAAAAGGTAACACAACCTAAATCAGTTCACAACAAATGGCACAATATAACAAAAGATCCATACAACAAAACTGTACCTCATTAGCTGCATCAACTCCAGAGGAATAAAGTCTAATCTTCTCACAGTCTCTCCAGCTCGCATAACCCACATGGCTCCAAATGCGCCAGCCAAAGTTCCCCGGGCAACACATGCCGTGCGGAACAAAACAAAAGTTCCCCCTCTACATTCCAATGTACACCCAACATAAAACCAATAAAATTACTACTGCCACCTTAAACATAAAAAACAAAAATAAAAAACAAGAGGCAGTTGTCCTGACAGCAGCCACAGGCCCTGCTGTGCTTCGTTGCTATGGTAATGGATCCTCTGCAACTGTCGTGTGTGAGACAGATTTCTATCAGTTTTAACTGAAAAAAGCGGTCCGAACAACTCCTTCCCATTCGGAAACATATCGGAAAACCGTTTGAAACATATGAGAGGGCTATCTTTCGTCTCCGATAGTCCCGCTATTCATATCTGTACATCACTCACAGTAATAACAGCGACGAGATAAAAATGGTGTGCGCTGAGGTCTGACATTTTTCAGAAATACATGGAAGTGATCCTGGCTGAGCGAGTCGAAATCCTGTCGCATCACTTCGCTCTGAAGCCCCTAGACAGAAAACCGTAAGACCTAGGAAAATGTAGAAAACATTTTACCGGAGCAGGCATGCGTATCTATTTCATGACCAAGTTTGATACCGATAGGGCGATATTTGTGGGCGTGACAGCGATTTCAAATTTTATTTGGGGTCAGAATCGCACTGCTTCCCACACTCTAACGAAACGTTGATTACACTCTAGTTTTTCCAAAAATTGAAAACTTTGGAGCGCTTAGAGAGAAATTGTGGACAAACCGTAATTCGTATCAACGTGTTGTCTTGACTTTAGAAAGATCACGGGCGTATCTACAAACTGAAATTTGAATGGCATTTCTACGTATTTTAGGATGTTTTGGTTTCCTCACTCCATTCATTTCTATGGGGCTTTTGGGGGTCTTTTTTGGCTTTTTACATCGCCATGGTAACTCAGAATCCCACCACAAGTAATAGCACACATGCCGCCATCGAGCCGCACGTTTTGATACCACATTTGTTGGTGGGCACGCAGCGGTATGAGCCGCATTAACGGTCACGGAAAAAAAATAAAGAGGCGTTCTATTGGGTGAAGATTAATAGGTGCCTGCCATGCAATGCATAAGGAGAGCAGTTACTGACTTGCGAAGCAAGTCAGTAACTGCTCTCCTTATGCATTGCTAGGCAGGCCCCAATAAAATGTCGCCTTGCAGTGCTCAATACTATTGTTGCATGTAGTCTACATATATATCAGTAATTAAGGACGTCTCAGAATACAAAAAACCTAATTATATATATAAGGTGAACTTCTGAATGAAAATCAGTTGACATTGAACTAGTTATAACTTTTTTTATAGCAAATAAAACGCGTAAGGCAGCTCTTCACATAAGTTCCCTAAACGCCTCACTGCACCACGTTGTTCGTAGAAAATACCACAGTACGTCAGGAACCTGAATGCAACAAGGCAGTGTCGCAAACAAAAGTTCCAAATGTAGCAGGATGAGGATCCGCGCACAGGAGCTATGGCTGTGTGAAGGTCGCTTTCAACTGAAATCTTATCGTTTATTGAACTAAACTTGTTTTACTAACTTTGAAAAGTTACGGGGCACCATTACTTTCGAAATAGCTGAAGCTGTGAATAAACGAGGTTCCTCTGAATACCGACAGCTCTACCTTCCTCACTTTCGGGGACAGAATGGCTCATTTTGCTCTGCCTGTCAGCGGTCTGTAGTCTGAAAGACAGCTCTCCTCTGCACCGCTCCCTCCTCGGTCATGGGGACGCGCTGGTCTCGGAGCGGCAGCAGCCTGCCGCTCCTCCGGGAGACAGAGCCAGAGGGCCGGCCAGCAGGACACAGAGAGCCCGATAACGACTCTCTGGACGGGCTTGACAGGCGAGAGGATATCGCTCAGTTTCCGTACGTGGAGTTCACCGGCAGGGACAGCATAACCTGCCCGACATGCCAGGGCACCGGGAGAATCCCTTCAGGTGAGCAGGAGACCAGATATGCCATGTTAGACGGGGTTTTATTTTATTTGACATGCTTAGCTGTTATTGCCCTCCAGAGTTTTCTCGCCATGTAGTTTAACTTCTTTCTTTTAAAAACAAATCTTAATAGAACAAGTGAACGAGCTGGTGGCGCTGATCCCCTACAGCGACCAGAGACTGCAGCCACAGAGGACGTGAGTAACCACCACTTTAAACCTCTATTTACTGGATTTCATTTGAATTTAACTCCTTAAACATTATTTACACTGAAGAGAGATGCATAAGCAAGAAAACACTGCTCGGATTACTCACTAGTATCCAGTATTCCTCCTCGCTATGATTATAAAAGGTTTTGCTCAATGTTGTTATTTTCTTTTTCAAGAATAAGACAAAAATAGCCTGATTACTAATGACGGTAAATGAAGCGTTTGGACTCATAGCAAAACTGTATTGATACTGTATCAATACTGTGTCACTGAATACTGACACCTGCTGGACATTAAAAATCCCTACAGCCAACGAAGTTAACTTACTAATACAATAAGATTGAAGTCATTGTATTTTATTGTATATTATATATTGTATTATGATATATCTTCAGTTAATAAATAATGATAACAAATAATGTGAACATGTACCATGTAATGTAAATTGAAATGGATGTGTTTGGATGAGGATGCTTGTGGACAGGGGATTTTTTTTCTTCACAAATTTTCATTAAAAATATAAGTTTTTCCAACACTTTGAAATTTATTCTGTTACAATAAATTTATATGAAATAATTTGTAAAAAGCAACTGAATAATTTGTAGAATGTCTGGGACTTGATTCTGATGCCTGGTTCTACTACTTACACAAAATGAGATATGCCCCCCCCAAAAAACAAAAAACACAACAAACAAATGGAAGCGTAATTCAGCGGATTATGACGTTAAAAGGCAAAACATATTATGAAATTACATTTGTTTACGTTGTTTAAATAATTGTTAGTGATGAAAGCAAAAAACCCCCATCTTTTTAAAAACAATAATTGTACCTGCAATACATGTAATGTTGATTGAGAACAATGCAAATTCAGTTTATTATCAGAGACATCCATATTTGTGGGATTTGAAAGCAGGTTGTTTGTGTGTGTGTGTGTGTGTTTGTGTGTGTGTGGTGTGTGTGTGTGTGTGTGTGTGTGTGTGTGTGTGTGTGTGGTGTGTGTGTGTGTCTGTGTAGGAAGCTGTACGTCGTCCTGTCGGTGGTGGTCTGCCTCCTGGCCTCCATGCTGGTCGCCTTCTTCCTCTTCCCGCGCTCGGTGGTGGTGGTGGACGCCGGGATCCGCTCTGTGACTGTACACTTTGATCACACCAACAACAAAGTCCTGATGAACATGACGGTAGGTTTCTTCTCATCTCTACAGTAATATCACCCGGACATGTATATCCTGAAAAGTTACTATAATTTAGGCTTCTCAATCTCTAAATAGTTTAATCACCACATTTTGCAATAAGCAAAGGCAAAGTAGTTGGCAGCTTTGACCAATAGGTGTTGTCCTTTGCTGTTATAGTTATGTTCCCCATCTGTTGATAATGTGATGAAAAAAAGTCTGTTGTCATTATGATTGCAACATGTTCTGATCTGAGGATGTATTTGCGACTTTTTGTTTATCTAAAGAAAAAAAAAAAAAAAGAAAAATGTTCCTGTCAAGATCTGCAACAATCAGAATTATATGGTAGATATTTTCATAAACTTTGACCTGCTGGTTCTGTCTTAGACACATTAAAATTTAATTTAAGAAGTTCAAAATAGGAAGGGAATTCCTATGGACCGATTAAAACTATGGTATGAAACATTATTTTAATCAGTCAGTCTGTCTTTTTATGCTTTTGGCAGATTTCAGAAATCCTGTAATTTGAAAAAAAGTATCACACAACAAAAATATTAAAGCAAAATTATTAGAACAGTTTAGGTAATATATGTAATGCTTTTCTAGGATCACTGAGAAAAGAAGCCTACTCCTAGAGAACGGTGTGGTGCACTCTGTTTGAAAGTTAGATTTTTCTATTTTTCTTTCTATCAAGAGGAAACATATCTAGTATTCCAGAACTGAACTATTTTCCTCCAGTAAGTCCTTCCACACTTAAGTTAGTCGTGGTTTAATATGATCCAATTACAGATTGGATAAAAGTCTGTCTCCTGATATTATTGTAGTGTATTTTTCCAGCCGGCCTTTCAAACCGTGCGGATTGTTTTTCCTTTCCAGTGCACGCTGAACTTCAGCAACCCAAACTTCTTCACCGTGCTGGTGCAGAGCGTGAGCTGCCAGGTCCTCTACATGAAGACGGTGGTGGGGACTCGGCAGCTGGACAACCCCACCACCATCCAGCCGCTCAGCCACAGCCAGGTGTGGAAAACAAGCGCCCTTCTCTCACACAAGCACATTCTTGGCTTGAAATGATCAAATGCTTTGCTTAATTCAACTTAACACTGATTCACAAAAAAATTTGCCTGAATAAAACAGATTTATATGCGTTCGGTTCAGCCCAATCATAACAGAAGTCGGTACCCACCACACCGATGTGTGTAGGATGAAAACAAAAGGCTTTATCAGAATACGCTGCAGGTCTGGCTGCCAAATGATCCGACTGGTCAGGATTTATGTAACTGAACAAAGAACACAAACTCCTTACATCAGCAGTGAGTCACACTGTTCGCCTATCTATCCTTCATGTTCCTATATTAGCATAAACACACACACACACACACACACACACACACACACACACCCACACACACACACACACACACACACACACACACACACACACACACACACACACACACACACACACACACAGTCTCTCTGTATTAAGCACTAAATCATCAGCCGAAGACAAACTATTCCAAAAAATACTCAGCATTTTCTATTTTCTTCTTGAGTCTCATTTGTCAGTTGCTAAAACAGGAAGTTGGTTTGCCTTTCTTGATTTTTATCAGTTCATGTTTCTGCACAATTATTAGAAACGGTATTGTGACATGTGTGCAAGAGAAAAAGGTCTCCACTTCAAAGTTCTTGCTCTAGAGGTTAGAAATCAGTTGCATCTTTTGGTGACTATATGTAAACAAAAATAAAGTAGAGCTGGATGTCAGCCCCTTACTGTAAGCCTGGGAGAAATGTTGTTATGTAAGTTTCAGTGGCTCGCCACGACTTGCACAAAGTCGCCCAAACATTGCCTCACTGTTTTCCTTTTCAGGAGGTTAAAGCTTGAAAACTTATGTACAGATGTGGCTGAAAGATTACACAGTCCTCATGTTTTCAGATTTTTTTTTTTTTGCTACTTGATGTTAATCACATTTTTGAAAACGAGACAAACGTAAAACACATCTCAAAACTGAATCTCAAACAGTCCTAAATGTGTTCTTTTAGAGATGCTGAATTTTAACAGCTTATTAAATGGAACGACTGTCTTTGGTGAGATACGAGTGGAGAGAAACAAACTTTAAGCTTCAAATTGCACCCATGGTGTCAAAATGTGCAGATAGGTCATTTAAACATTCATCAAAATTTTTATCAACCAAAACAATTGTCTGCTTCTGAGTTTTTTTTTTTTTTTGCATGGATTTTGGCACGGGTACTTCACATTAACATTTAACACTGGAACTGAAAATATTTGAAATATCCAAAATAAAATAACTAAAACTACGATTAATTCAACTTTGACAGGGAAAAGAGGCAAAAGTGTCGAGTAGTGCAAACTAACTACATCAGTCATGATTTTTGTTCACATGGAAATGATCGATCTCATTTTAACTCATCATGCAATTAATTGATTTAGTTTCTTATTATGACAGACTTCAGATCATAAAGTGCACTTTCTATGCAGAAATGATTGTTTTTTTTTTGGTTTTTTTTACAGCTGTGCAAATAAGTCTTATTTTATTTTTTCGACTTATGATATTTTCACTAGTCATACATTTACTTTGATACCAGAGCAATTCAAGTAAACATAATTGTTATATTAAGTAAATTTAGGGCATGTCATTTTTGAGCAAAACCCTCAAAAGAGGTCAAAGGTTTAAGAGGCTGGAATCAGATTGTGTGTGTGTGTGTGCGTGTGTTTTTTTTTGATGCCTCACCTTGTTCACAGGTGAACTACACGGTCAGTGTGGAGATCGGCAGCAATGCACCTTATGTCTAGTAAGTGGCGCCCAAACTGTGTTTAAACAGCTTGTACTGACAAATGACTGAAATGTGACATTTTTCTCTCTTTTATGTCTTGCAGTGCCTTCTGCACAATGCCCAGAATCAAGGTTCACAACATCGTCATATTTATGCAGTAAGTTGTAGTTTTTGTGGTAAGAGCACTAGAAATGCATTGATGTGTATTTATTAGTTAATTTTATTATTTTTTTAGTAAAATCAGCTTTAAAAATGACGCTAGACACTGGGTTGGTGTTTAATAAATGTTAGTTTCATTTGGATATTAAAGTGAATTCTGTCATAGGATTATTTTTGTCCTTTCATTTGCCGTGGTGCGTTACTTTTCTTCAGCTGTATCATTATTAACACTGATAATAATGATAATGTTAACGATCAGTTAACTGTTGTGTCACTCAGTCTTATTTTTCTACTAATCCTGATGTTTCATGGCTGTTTGTCAGTAAGATTTACACACAAATACTGAGTAGAACCAGGTCAGCTAATAAATATACAATATTTAGGATATTTCAGAGATCTCAATGAAGTACTTAAATTTGTGATTCAAATTACAATTTAATTAAAATACATGGTAAAATCATTCAAACCCTTCACTATTTTCAAATTTCCTTTCAACTTCAGATGCTTTTTAACTCTAAAACATGGTGGACTGCTGGATGACGGCCCCGGCATCCCAAACACCAGACTTAAGTTTTCCGGGGAAATTTCTTCTGTAGCAGTTTAAGCGAACTCAGTCAGAAGCTGTCAATATTAGCGATGTACCAATATTTTTGTATATTTTTGCAATATACAAAAAGTATTGCAAGTACAATAAGATAAAGTCATGTAAGTTAAGTTTCAGGAATGTATTTTTCTTTTTAAACAGATCTAATTTTAAAAAGTCTTAATCGCTCCCTGCTGTTTTAGTCAGCAGTGGGTGTCATATTTAAATGTTTCTTTTTAAACCTCTGTGATGATTCTGCAGCTGCATCTTGTTGCGTGTTACAGTAAGCATGGAGACCTGTGTTGAAATATGTTGTGACCACATCCTGCTCTTGACGGCGTCATTGAAAAGCTTGCCTCTGTTTTCAGAACCTCGGTGAAAACGTCGTACATGGTGCGAACGTCCCAGAACAGCCTGGAGGACTACCGCTACATAGACTGTGGCTCCAACACCACCCACCCCCGGACTCACCAGTAGCACAACCACGCCCCCTTCAGGAAAGAAGCAACAAAATAGATTTTTTTATTAGAAATCTGCTACAAAAAAAGTAAACAACCTTCAAACGAAGTGGTTTGGTTGCTGAGCACATAAATAAGTGCAGGAAGCGGATTTGTTTGTCCACAGACACGGTGGCTCACATGCTGCTGACAACCAAGTGAATAAGTCGCTGATTCACTACCAGGCATCATTCTCTATTAAAAGTCACACAAAGCTCTTTATGTTGTGGGGAAAATGGTCGACGTTCTCAGACAAAAACTTGAACTGTTTCTGCTGATGTGAACTTCTTCCACTTCACATCGTTCTAACTGAATCGACTTCTCTTTTCAGGAAGGAAATGCAAAAAAAAAAAAAAAAGGGGGTAATTGTTGTTTCTGCTTCTGGTACCATGCAGTAATTCTGTTATTGAATTTTTTGCTGTTGTTCTTGCTTGCATTTAAATGTGTTTAAAAGGTATTGAAATGCTTACTGGATTTTTTTTTCTTTTTTAATCATCACTTTGATCTCAGTAAGTAAGTAAAACTGCACACCAGTTTTATTGACTCAAAGAGATGATTTTCACACCAAATGTAAAAGTATTAGACCTTTTTTTTTAAAGGTGCATTTGTCTTTTTCTGAATTCTGGGAAATTTATTAAGGGACATAATATCCACTTTGGGTTACAATGTAAAAAGATTTAAGGGGATTGTGAATAAATGAGATAAATAATCGTCTTCTTGAATTTTTTTTTGATATAGAGTTGAATTTTTTTTCTTGCATGCTGGAGCAGCACCTGAGGTGGTAAAGTAAAAATATTGGAAATCTGGTCAGGATGCTCCCTAGATCTTAAGCCCTCTTAAGAATCTGTTTAACACAGATTACATGATAAATGACTTATTTCTTAATAGAAGTATTAAAAATGTTACTCTACCCACAACACTTGATAAACTTAAAGCTGAAAATAAAATCCACAGATAAATTGCACCAAGCAAGCTAGGAGCAGCAGGGAGGAGCGCTGCCCCTTTAAGAGATCCTGAGATTGTCTGAGTGTGAGACCAGCGAACATGTCTGCACGCAGCGCTGGAAACAGATTGACTAAAAACTTTTTACTGAAACGGCCTATTTAAAGTTACAGGAAATACCGCTATTACAGTTGCTGTATTCAAACTTTTACTGATCACACACTTGGCATAATTGCATTGTTGTGGGCCAGGCCCGGTTCCACGGAAACTCCATTAGGTGCAAGATATCAATTCAAAATATTCAATTGCAAGTGAAATCTTGTGTGATTGGTATAAAAGTCAAGTCTAGTCAAAAGTCATTAAGTCTGAAACTTCCAGCCAGCACACCTAGGTGGGCCCCATATGGGATATAAGTGGGCAGGCAATATGGGTCCCAAAAGGGTTTGTCCACGGTTTCCATGGTGGCCCCACATGGGTTTGCCCAAGTAGATTTTAATGGGTGCTAACTGGGTTTTCAGTGGGTCCCACATGGTTAACTCACATGAGGCCCATCTGTGGCCCACTAGGGTGCTGTCAAGAATATTTACGTGGGTCCCAATTGGGTCTGAACTGGGCTAGAATATGGGTACCAAGTGGGTTTGTCCACGGTTTCCATGGTGGCCCCACATGGGTTTGCCCAAGTAAATTTTTATGGGTGCTAACTGGGTTTTCAGTGGGGCCCATGTGGTTAACTCACATGAGGCCCATCTGTGGCCCACTAGGGTGCTGTCAAGAATATTTACGTGGGTCCCAATTGGGTCTGAACTGGGCTAGAATATGGGTAACAAGTGGGTTTGTCCACGGTTTCCATGGTGGCCCCACATGGGTTTGCCCAAGTAGATTTTTATGGGTGCTGACTGGGTTTTCAGTGGGGCCCATGTGGTTAACTTACATGAGGCTCATCTGTGGCCCACTAGGGTGCTGTCAGGAATATTTACCTGGGTCCCAATTGGGTCTGAACTGGGCTAGAATATGGGTACCAAGTGGGTTTGTCCACGGTTTCCATGGTGGCCCCACATGGGTTTGCCCAGGTTGATTTCAATGGGTGCTAACTGGGCTTTCAGTGGGTCCCAGATGCCTTAATCATGTAGGAACAATTCCCATCTAACCTGGATGTGAATTACATTCATAGATATGCAATCTTGATCAACAATCCAAAGTCTAGCTTAAAACGTGTTCAAATAAAAAAAAAAAAAAAAAAGAGATGAAAAATTTATTTTGCTCAAGGCTTTTATTTAGTAATTTAAAATATTGTCAGGAGTTATTTTTTACCTCACTACAGCAATTATTAGAACTTCATTAATACTCAGGGAATGGTGCCACAAAAAGAAATCTGCAATTATTCACGACATATTTGAAAATAACAGAAGCTAGTTTACTATAACAAACTTATAAACAGATCTATAAATATATATCTATAGATGCACACAAATAAAGACACCTACATATTTTCCTACAGGTCTATAAATGTATACATCTAAAATACTATCTATATAACTTTATACACGTATATTCACATTGATACACACAATGTGAATATACACACCTATATAGATCTTTCACAATACATTTTTGTTAAACATTTTTAAAAATAACCTACATGCCATATGCATGCTTAAATTTGAAATCTCTCATACTTTACTGAAACTGTCCATCTTGAAAGACCTCCCCAACCTGAGTTTGAACTGGCAGTCTCTCTAGTCTATTTCCACTTCCACTCGGGCTCCAGTAAACCACTTCGAGAGTCTTTGCTGTATGCTTGTGTGATTCTGTAGATGGATAATTTCTTTTAAGTCCCCTGAAATAACAAGCAAAGGTAGAAATTGTATTAGTGTTTCATTTTAGCACAATGTAACATTCATGAGATTTGCATCTCCCCCTTCATGGGGCAAAAATGCTTGCAGAGATATGCCATAATCAAAAGGACTCTTGAGTCATCATTATGTACAGAAACTATATTCTTACTGTAAATTTAAAATATATCCATCTATATAAATCAACTACTAGGTTCTATCGTGGTTTTGTGGTTATTTTAATATTGTTTGAAATGCAAACAATATTACCTTCAAATTTTTAAGTTCTTAACAACAGTGAAAGAATACTGTTCAAATAAAACCAAAAATTGAAGACTCAATTTTTAACCTAAAAACATTACTAAAAATAACAAACAAAAGCATAAAACAACCAAAATAAATTAACATATGTTTAAGAAAGAAAAGTGAAAAAAAAAAAGTTACTCTGACAATAAAAAACTGATATTTACCATACAAAACATCAAAGAGACGCAGGTCCAAGAGCTTGTTTCCAATGTTGGCCAAAAAGGTTGAACTGGACTTCCAGTTCATGGGACATGAGGAATCGCACAGCTGGTTGTATTGTGTCATCTAAGGATGCTCCTCCAATTTCTGTAGCCATGGCAACCTTAAGTACAATGACAATAACAGGACAACATTTTGTTTTTGTTCATCAGTTTGTTATTATATCACTCTTATGTGCTTAATTTCACTAACATATTAATCTACCTTTTTCAAATCATTATAAAGTGATCTTCACACGCTGATCCTCTTGAAGCCTGCAAAAATATATATTTTATTAGTGCAATATAACATTTAGACTTTTCAAAAAAATAAAAAAATTAAGGCAAAACAGCCTTTGTATAGATTAACTACTGAAGCCTTATATTGTAAACACTGAACAGTTTTGCAATTATCCTAATTTCTTTGTTAACGTGACAGGACTAAGACAGTAGTATTACTCTTAAGAGAAGTTTAGAAAATCACTATAAATGTAACTAATAAAGCCTAAAACATTGTACATATAAAAAAATTAGAGCTACAATTAAATATAAGTACATTTCACATAACTGCTAGCTAAATATTGCAAAAATATCAAAAAGAATTTCTTCATCTTTCAATATTTGTTTCAGGCTTGGCCACTGATTGACATGATGGGTTTCAATTTACGGACCCACATGCAGTAACCACACGTTGGATAGGGATGAGTGAGTGATTTATTTACAACAGGACAAAATAAAATCTATTTCCCGGACATCAGCGGAAGGGTGAGGACCACTCGACCAGGTTGGCCTGAAACGAGAACTTAGTTATGACGGGCTTAGAATGAGTGATCGGAGGGGAAACAGGAACAGGCTTACTTCGGTGCGGGTCTTTCGAGGCGTGGGTGTGAGATGCCAGGTTCCTGAGAGAGGGTGTGCAGCGGTTCCGAAGGTAAATGCGAGGTGGGAATGGAAGAGAGCTGGAAGCTCGAAGGGTGGAGTGGAGGCAGTGGAATCGGCGGAGCGAGCAGGCGGGTATTCACTGGTGAGTTCTCGAATGAGGCGACAAAACCCCTAGGATCGAACAAACACAGAGACCAGGTGACTTCTAGTAGACACAGAAACGTTCTCAGAAAACTGTTCACAACAGGAGAGGCCAGAGTGACTACCGGTGTATGCAACCATCTAGCATACACCAGTAGAATCTTCAGTCAATCTAGCGTAGTAGACTGAAGATTCTGCTGCTCCTCCACCTGTGCCAAGCTCCACGGGCTCCTCGCTGAAATAAGATGCGACACTCACATACACACACAGGAACCCTGACACTGATGACTACTCTAGACCAACACAATAGCGGCAGATTGAAATAAACTATGACATAACAAAACGCTTTAAAGTGTCACACAACAATTAAAAAAAGAATTTAAAAATATGAACTACAATGCCTTCATCCTATTTACAAAAAACCTTTTAGGCCCAATATACTGAAACCACATGGGCCCCATATAGTGTTCCCATTTCTGTCCCATGCCCGGTTAGCCCACGTTAATGCTGAATTGGGCCCATACATTTAACCCAATTGAGCCAACAATATGAGTCCCATTTCGGTTAACCTTTTGAGCCTCACGCAGTTGGCCCAGATAAAACCCATGCCCTCTTATCATTACCTATATAGCCCAAAGCTAAACGATTCAATGCAGTTTTATTGAAAAAAACGACAATAATAATCTTGCATGGGTCCCAGCCAAACCAGCCTGAATCCATACATGAGACCCACCCATGCATGCTGATGTGACTGTGAGAAAGATTATTAAAAGCCCAAGTACATAGAATGAAAGCACAATAGTTACTCTTTTTAAATCATACAAATGGTTTTATTGTGTCCAGACACTTTGTAACAACCTCTGCTAGCAACATAGATTCTTCAGTGAACCGATTTCATTCTGCCTCGTTGGCGCTCAAATGAACCAATGGCAGCTCAACAAATAGAATGGCGGCGGTATTTGAAAATGGTTTGGCCCACAACGCTGCGTTTGAAATCGGTCTGCACTAAAATCTGCTTATTGTGTGTAGCTGTGTGTGTTAGCAATATCAGAAAAAGTATCACCCTAAAGAAAAGCAAAAATAACAATAACAATTAAGTCTCTTTTGGGATACTGTCGTCCGATTTGTTACGAGCAACATTTTTTTTAACAAGCGATTTAAAATCTCTCCCTAAAATTTGGTACTAGGTAAAACAGAAGAAATGTACTTACAGATTTTTTCGTAGATCAGCCAACAGGCAGACTCCGCGCCAACGGACTGATGAAGAGAACAGGCTTGATTTTGAAACCGCATATCCATCCGCGGGTCATTTTACGTTTTCCAAGAAACACAAGATTAATTTTGAGAGTGCTACATCGGTTTAACAAATGTAAAACCGATGTAGCAAAAGTTCTCAATGTAAATAAATACA